TCCTACACACACATACACACACACGCAGACTCTCACTGGGGTACGGGGTCCTACACATGCCTACCCTTGCTTGGGTATGGCTCCCACATGCACGCTGAACCTCGCTGGGGGGCAGAACTCCTATGGGCACTTAAAGTGGGAATGGATGAGATGCATCCAAAGATTTTGACGTGAGTGGGGTAGAAATTGTGGGGGTATTTGCCATAATCTCAGACTTTGCTGGACTCAGGAGAGTTGCCAGAAGACTGGACAATTGCAAACATGAAAGCCTTTTCAGAAAGGCTGAAAGGATAATCACAGCAGTTATAGACAAGTTAATTTAACTTTAATGGTGGGGAAACTTCTAGAAACTATTATTTGGGATGGAATTAGTGATCATGTGGGAAAAGAATGGATTGATAGGAAGGGTCAGCGTGGATTTCTAAAGGGAAAATCGTGTTTGACTAACTTGCGGGAGTCTTTTGAAGAGACAACAGGCTTGTTGAGGGTTGATATGTTTTGTGTGAATTTTCAGAAGGCATTTGCCACAAGAGCCACACTATAGACCTGCGAGCAAAGTTATGGGTCATGGAATAAAATGGACAGTAGCAAAGTCGATACAAAATCAGCTGAGTGATAGGAATTAGAGAATGGTGTACAATGGATATTTTTCAGGCTGGAGGAAGGTTTGTAGTGGAGTTTCCCATGGGTCGCCACTGGGGCTCTTGCTTTTCCTGTTATAGATTAATGATTTGGATCTGGTGTGCAGGGGACAATGTGCCTTTGCAAACTTTGACCAAACTTGGAAGAATTGTTTTGAGTGTGGAACTCCAAAAGGGCATTGACAAGTTGGTGGAGTGGGCAAACCGGTGGCAGATGAAGTTCAATCCAGAGATGTATGAGGTGAAGCACTTTGGCCAGAAGAATATTGGAACATAAGATAGGGGTACAATTTTGAAGAGGGTACAGGAGCAGAGGGACCTCTGTGTCCGTGTTGTGTATTTAACTGAAGGTTGACTGTACAAGAGAGCAGTAAATAAAACATAACGTATTTGGCTTTATTAAGAGGGGCATGCAGTACAAAAACAGGGAGATGATGTTGAAATTGTACAAGACTTTCCTCTGGAGAATGAGTATTGTGTACTGTTGTTAGCGCTACATTGCAGAAAGATGTCAATGTGTTGGAGTGTGTGAAGAAGCAGTTTACAAGACCGGTTCCAGGAATGAGAAACTTCAATTGTGAGGATAGATTGGAGTTGGGACTGTTATTGAGACAAGATCTGATTGAACTTTTCAAAATCGAGTGGGCTGGACAGGGTAGATAGGGAGAAGCTATTTCCACGTGCAAAAGGAACAAGGATGAGAGGGCATTGATTAAAAGTGATGTGCAAATGAAGTAAGGGTAATGTGAGGAAGAAATGTTTTCACACAGTGAGTAGTTAGGGTCCAGAATGCACCATCTGGGAAGGAGGTGGAGACAGGTTCCATTGAGGCATTCATGAGGAGCATTAGATGATTGTTTGGTATGCAGAGATATGGGGAAAAGCTTTACACTAGGTAAGAGAAATGGTGCAGGAATAATGGGCGAATGGCCTCTTTCTGTGTCATAACAATTCTGTGATTTTAGAGTCAGAGTTGTACAGCACAGAAACAGAACTTTTAGTCCGACTTGTCTATACTGACCTATACCCATTTGCCAGCATTTGGCCCATATCCCTCCAAACCCTTCTTATTCATATACCCATCCAAATGCTTTTTAAATGAATTATACCAGCCCTCACCACTTCCCCTGGCAGCTCGTCCCATACTCTCAACCTCCCTCTGTCTGAAAATGTTGCCCCTTAGCTCACTTTTAAATCTTTCCCCTCTCACCTTAAACCTGTGCCCGCTAGTTTTGGACTCCCCTACCTTGGGGAAAAGACCTTGGCTATTCACTCTATCCATGCCCTTCATGATTTTATAAACCTCTATAATGTCACCCCTCAGCCTCCAACGCTGCAAGGAAAAAAAGCCCCAATCTATTCAGTCTCTCCCTACAGCTCAAACTCTCCAACCCTGGCAACATTGTTCCTATAGGAGGGAGACCAGAATTCAATGCAGTATTTTAGAAAGGTTTTTGACAATGTTCCTCATGGTAGATTCATCCAGAAGATTAAGATGCATGGGATCCATGGTGACTTGCCCATAGAAGACAGAGGGTATTGGTGGAAGGGAGTTTTTCAGGCTGGAGGTCCATGATTAGTGGCGTTCTTCAGGGATCTGTACTGGGACCTCTGCTGTTTGTTGTATATATAAATGACTTGGATGGAAATGTAGATGAGTGGGTTAGTAAGTCTGCAGACAAACCACAGATCGGTGGAGTTGTGGATAGTGTAGAAGGTTGTCAAAGGATCAGTTGCAGATATGGGCAGAGAAATGGTAGATGGAGTTTAATCAGGGTAAGTGTGAAGTGTGCACTTTGGGAGATAAAATGTTAAGGAAAAGTATGCAGTTAATGGCAGGACTTTGAACAGCATTGATGTACAAAAGGATCTTGGAGTTCAAGTCCATAGTTCCCTGAAAGTAGCCACAGAAGTAGATAGAGTGGTAAAGAAGGCATATGGCATGTTTGCCTTTATTGCTCAGGAAATTGTAGTCCAAAAGTCAGGATGTCATGTTGCAGCTTTATAAGACTTTGGTAGGCCACACTTAAAAGTATTGCATTCAGTTCTGGTCACCACATTATAGGAAAAATGTGGAGGTTTTGGACAGGGTGCAGAAGTAGTTTACCAAGATGCTGCCTGGATTAGAGCATATGAGCTATAAGGAGAAACTCAAAGAACTTGGATTGTTTTCTCTTGAGTGCGACAGGCTGAGGGGAGACTTGATGGAAGTCTGTAAAATTATGAGATGCATAAATAGGATTGATGGTCAGAATCTATTTCCCAGAGTTGAAATGTCTAATACGAGGAGGCATGCATTTAAGATAGAGGGGGAAAGTTCAAAAGAGATGTGAGGGGCAAGATTTTTTTAAACAGAGTGGTATGAGTCTGGAACGCACTGCCAGGGGTGGTGGCAAAGGGTATTTAAGGGACTTTGGAATATGCAAGGAATGGAGGAGTATGGACCAATGGCAGGCAGAAGAGATTAGTTTATTTTTGGTGTGATGTTCGGTATGACGTCGTAGGTCGAAGGGCCTGTTCCTGTGCTGTACAGTTCTATGTAGTATTCTAAAAGTGGCCTAACCAATGTTCTGTACAGCTGCAACATGACATCCCAACTACTATATTCAATGCACTAACCGACGAAGGCAGTTTGCCAAATGCTGCTTTCGGCCTGTCTACCTGTGACTCCACTTACAAGGAACTATGCACCTGCAACTCTAGGTCTGTTTGGCAACACTCCCCAGGCCCTACCATTAAGTGCATAAGTCCTGCCCTGATTTGCCTTAACAAAATGAAGCACCTCACATTTATCCAAATTAAACTCCATCTGCCACTTCTCGGCCCATTTTGCTCATCTGATCAAGGTCCCGTTGTACTCTGAGATAACCTTCTTCACTGTTCACTACACTGCCAATTTTGGTGTCATCTGCAAACTTACTAACCTATATTGACATCCAAATAATTTATATAAAAACAGGATCTGAAGGGACATCTCATGATAGAGTAGAAACTTGGCTTCAGGCCTGAGAACTGGCTTCTGGGGCCTGCAATTGGGACTGGGACCAATCTCATTGTATTCTTTGAAGTAACAAAGAGTATAGACACAGGGAATGTAGTAAAAATAATGTATTTGGATTCTTAAGGCCAGCAACAGATACCACATATTTGGCTGAGGACTGAGTTAGGAATTTGTAGAGATAAGAGAGACAGCAGAATATCATGTGCTAAACTGCTAACAGAGTGAGGTTAAAAGTAGTTACTCAGATCAGGCAAATGGTGGCAAGTGTCCCACAGGTTTGGATGCAGGAACCACATGTTGAATTACAGAAATTGTTTGAAATTGTGAATTTGAAGCAGTTTCAAAATCTGCTGATAACGCTAAACTGGGGGAGTAGTTAATACAGATGTTGGTTTGTGTTATTTTTTTTCAAGAACAGCTCCTGTGATCCCAATTAGTCGTTAGCCTGAGGAATTTGCTACAACAGCAAATACTTGAGGCTAAAATTGTATGTTTTCAAGAAGAGTTGGATATAGCACTTAGGGCTAATGGGGATCAAAGGGTTATGGGTGAAAACAGCAGCAGGCTATTGAGTTGAATGATCAGTCATGGTCATAATGAATGGCAGAGCAGATTCGAAGGGCTGAATGGTCTATTCCTGCTCCTATTTTCTATGTTACTTAAGTAATCTGGCTGACCTGTTGCTGGTGTTGAACTATATATAGTCTGACACATATATGAAGGGAGGTGATTTTGCCATTTAGAAATTCAAACTTCACTGGGACCAGGAAGGAATCTGTTGATTCCTATCTCAATCACCATAGCAGAATGGACTTGGAGGACAGCTAGTTAGCGTTTCTACCTAGGTCCAAGACCTATGCGATTTATGTTGACATGGAGGTGAGTATTGAGAGAGGGTCCATGGGATGCAATTTGCAGGATCGGGTTACAGACTTTTCAACTCTAAGACAAATCAGTCTGCCAGGACGTTTGTGTGTGTGAGAGAGAGAGAGGTGGCGGGGGGGGGAGTGGAAACAAACAGCTAGAGGCAGCCAGTTTCTACAGCACATTGCACAGGAACGTGGGTGGGAGCTCAAACCCCGGTTTGAAAAGACCAGTTCCTAAGGATTTGGTACAGGACTAGAAGGTTTGTCCAACTCTAACTGGAGGCAGAATATGCAGGAAAATCATGTGGTTTAGACAGAATTGAATATTCCCTTTAAATAATAATTAGTCAATGTCAGCTTTTATTAGTTACAGGTTGGGGCATGAGTATGGAAGGGGTTACAGAGAGAGAATGGAATGGGTGGTGGGGACAAAACATGAGAATTGGGTAGGTCAGGGAGGGAGGGGAATACAAGGGACATTGGACACAGTGAGAGAAGGTGAGGAAGGAATGAAACTAGAGGGGGAGGTGAATATCATGGAAGGGGTTTGGAAGGAAAAGGAGGGAGGGTACACAGAATGAGAGAAAGGAAGGGCTACCCAGACAGAAGCTGGAATTGGATTGTCCAGATGAGGTTAAGGTAACTGTTGGTTTAATGGAATTTGCTTGAAGCTCTGCCACTGTTTAATTTTTGCCAACAGTCCAAACAGAAGCTTAGCAAGAGAGGAACCACCACACTGGAAGTAGCTGCAGGAGTTGGCAGGCTGTAAGTACAGATATTTACATTTTACAGCATAGAATGCCATTCAGCCCAATACATGTCTGTGCACACTGTTTCAAAGATTTGTTCATTTAGTCCTGCTCCCCTGTAGCCTTTCACATTATTACAATCAATCAGTCAATAAGAAACAGTAAAGGCTCCCAATGATAAATAAATGTGGCCTTGAGATTCCTTAGGATCTTCATGGGGGTTTTCAGGGTAATACTAGGAACAGCTCTCCTTTAGGTGTAGCTCCAATCCGGGAGCGGGCACATAAACCTTGATTTCCTGTATTATCCAGCGCCTCACTAGACTTCATGGGGCAGAGAGAGGGTGTGAGTGATGAGCCTGGGAATGCCACAAGTTGGAACTGGAGTTTTCCCAGTGGCCACTGATGGAAGATGTTAGAGAACTGGTTCCCTTGCCATGTAATGAAGTGGTCTTCCATTGACCCTTACAGACTTTTAACCCAGGCTTACACGACATTGGAGAATGGTCAAGGTCCGCTCTGGTGGGCAGCTGTAGATTAGAGTCAGTGCCCAGCGACCCTAGAAGCATGGATGTTTGGCGTGGATGGGCAGAGGAGCAGGTGAATGCTCACCAACCCCTACAGCACCTTTTATATCCTCCATGCCACCTTCAGAGCCATTCTCACTGTCAACTATCAACCAAATAGTTGGCCCAGGCTTGCTACCAAGTGGAAAGACAATGAAGAAACTGAAGCCAGAGACTCACATGTACGCCAGTAGGTTCTCGGGGCTCTAGCTCTGCCATTCCGAGTGTTTTGAGTGGGTACAAACTGGCACATGTTCAGTATTAATTGTAATATCGATTAGTCTGGAAATCTCTCCTGCCCAGGATAATGCTCAGTGTGTTGTGATTTTCAGGCTGCACCTTCCGTCCCCTCATTCCATGGAGAGAAGATTGCCTTGCAGTGCCCCTGTCGTTGTGGCCATCATTCTGTCACTGGTACTTGTGCTGATGGCTGCTGTCCTTCTCATTTTTCCCATTGTGATCCAGGAGTGTAACTGGCACCGGAGAAATACCTTTCTACCGTTTCATTTCACACTGTCCTACCTTAACGGCCCACCACCGACGTAACCACTGCAGAACCTGGGAGCTCCTGCTGCTTCTTACCCAGAGCCTAATGGTGGCATTGACTGAAGAACTCACTCTTAATGTGAACGTTGTGACTGAGCTGACCAACTATCCAGCTGCTAGATTCCCAACACGACCCAACCTTTTGAATGACTGTCTAGCACAGAGACAGAATGGAAACAGCTTGCAACTGAATGGATTGGGGGCCAAGATATAGGGATCGAGACTGGCAAGGTGGGAATGTGGAATGTTATGTTTTGTTCCTTGCATCGTAGAGATTGGCTGAACTGCTAGCCGTTTCCACCATTTCATAGCTTGTTCCTGTATTTGTATCTATTTTCTCTCTCCTTCTGTGCATCAATGCAAAAGTGGCACCTGTGGAGTGACAATTTCCTCTTTAAAACCCCTCACCCCGTCCCGTCCCTCCAGAACAACACAGACATGCCCAGAGAGTGACAAACCTCATGACCCAGTGAACAGCCCGAGAGTGACTCCCTCCACAGTAACAAGTCCCAAATGTTGTTCAGAGTGATGCCCATCCATCAATGATGTGAATCCATCTTTATGGAATAACACCCAACTGAAGGGGTCCATGGTGTCTTGACTGAAGACCTCTTTGTCTTTTTTTTTTTACAGAGGTGGTGCTCTCCATTCTCCATCAGCTGGTCCATGGGGTCTATTTAATATTCTTGCCCCGTGTTACTGTTGGGGAAGTGATCCTTGAAGGGGTGAGGAGGCTGCTGCTAATCAAAGCTCAATGTCTCCCATTCAAACTGAAGGGAGCTCATCAGCTAGGCAGAATGGAGGAGAGGGAGAGGTGAACTTGAAAAACTGTACAACTTACAGATGGGGCAAGGAAATGAAGTGACAGGAAGGTTGATTGTATAACGATAAGGATAAGTTAATAAAAGATTTGTGCGTGGGTGTGATACAATGTGCAGCCTACTTTAATCAGAATGTTTAAAGGCTTGAAGACTGCAAGGGAGATGTTGATCCACTTCCCATGGTCTGTAGGCCAATGTGGAAATTAGGGTGGGGCAGATACAGGCGATTTCGCCCATCAAGTTTGTACCAACCCTCTAAAGAGCTCAACCGCTATTTGAAATGGCTTAGCTAGCAAGTTCAAAGGCAACTGGGGATGAGCAACAAATGCTGACCTCACCAGTGATCTCCACATCCCGTGAAAAAATAAAAATTATTCCATGGTGTAAAACATTCCATATGCACCTTTTATCACCTATCCCACTCACCGAAGGGAGCATCTGCATCTTTGTTTCAGCTGTGGATGGCTAAGCCAGCATTTGTTACCCATCCCTAAATGTCCTGCAACTGGGTGGTTTGCAAGGCCATTCAGAGAGCAGTAAAAAAAAGTTAACCACGTTGCTGTGGGCCTGGATTCACATGTAGGCCAGATCAGAGAAGGATGGCAAATTTTCTCCCCTAAAAAGACATTAGTGAACTTGATGTAACTTTACAGCAATCGACATTGGTTACATGGTCACCACTGGCTCGCCTTTCAACCCAGACTTTCACCATCTACCATGAACATTAGCCTGAAGTTCTGGACTCCTAGTCCAGTGACGTTACCTCTTAATCTCCCCTTGTGTGGAAGATGCACTCCAGGGAGAATTGATCTTTCAGAACAGGGTGGGTAAATCCTGAAAACGGAAAGTGGCAGTGATTTCCTCAACAGGATGCTTTTTATTATAATGACACAGAGCAGAGATGCACAAGTCAGACCTGGATCTGAGAACAGCCCTTGGAAAATATTCGGGCACGTGCAGATGTGTCAGATGTTCGGGCTCCAAACATGTAGAGAGACACACACACATGTGCATGCAGCCGCCCACCCTGTGGACAGATCTCAACTCTGACTAGCAAACCGTTCACTTTACACCCTTTTGAACAATGAGGGTGTATCTGATCATGGACCCATTCTTTTGGTAAACAGGTGAAACAGTATTGAAAGTGTGCTTGTGGACAAGTACACCGAGTGTGACTTGTTCACAAACACACTTGGTTATTTCCCACACCCTTTTGCAACAGCAACAAGTCAAGTAGCATAAAAACAGCGTAACATGCAGGAGCTTTCTCTGGTTGGGTTGGTTTCATGTTTCATAAATGGAAAGAAGTTATTATAAATACTAAATCATCCCACCCCAGGCAGAGCCACTGTTGGTGAGGATCAAATACTTGTTGGTGGATGTGCGTGCACTGGGAGTGAGGACACCACAGTGTAGCAGTAACACTTTAACCAGACTGCGCTGTGCTAGAGTCAGAACGCATTGGAAATGGGCTTCTCCGTTCCCGAAAAGGGAGTAGCACAGAAATAAACCGTTTTGTGAACTGGCTTGAGGTCCCGTTGTTGTTTGTTCCCAAGTCTGGAAATGTAAACAAGATGATTCCTGAACTCCAGCTGCCATTGAATGGAGAAATGAAACAGAGTGATTTATTCAACCTTCCTCAGCTTCAAGTGGCCCCACAGTGTTGGAGGAGTGATGGTTGGAGTGCAAGGCTCCCCATTCTCATCAAAACGCAAACGCAGGGTGTTCCTGATCACCAGCTTTTCCACAATGAAAGAAGCACAGAACCAGGGCACTGCATACTCCAATGTCACCAACCCCATGAAGTCATAATCAAACTGTGAGTAGTCCCAGGGGCAGGCATTGAACTGACGCAGAATAAGTCCAGTCGAGAACTCCCAGACGTAGGTCCAGAGGGTGTAGATGATGCACCTCACCACACTTGGACATCGGTCCTTGAGGTACAGGTACATCCGCTCCACCACCATGATCGAGGTGCCGTAGATGAAAAGGGCCCAAACACTGGTGACCCCTGGGAATTTCCAGTTGAAATTGACCACAAACTCCCAGGCAGCTGTGAACATCACCTCACAGAAATAGCCATGGATGGCATAAAGGTACCAGCGAGAGAGGGCACTGAGGGGCTCGACAGCCCCCATCATCCTCCTGCCATCCTGAAACGGCACACAGACCTGAAGCAAAACAAATCAAGGTTATTCCCAGCTGTGTTGGAAGGTCAGCCACTCCCCCAGCCCAAAACCAAACAATTGAGGATGCCCTTCTTCGAAAGCCAAATTCTACATCAAAAAAGAGGGCCTGGCACCCTGAACCGCAGAAGTAAATCCCCTGTTCCAAAAGCAAAGGAGTCTTTACCCCAAAATGCCACACCTAAAACCAGAGGGGCCCATACGTTAAATCCTAAACATCCAAACTCCGAAACCTGAGGAACCCTCCCCCTTCTAAAACCCAGAGGAGCCTGTGCTCCCAAACCTAAAGAAGATCACACCCATAAATCAAAGAAACTGATACCATGTACCCCAAAACTAGAAGGGCCCACACCCCGCCAGCATCCTGCATCCCAAAAGCTGAGGTTTCCACACACCAAAACCAGAAGGGCCGGCTCCCCTGAATCACATACACCTGTAACTGGGATGTCTCAGAATTCAAATTTAGTTAATAAATTAGATATTCACAAAGCCACAACCATTTAGCTGCAGAGTCTGTATAGCACGTGCAGATCCAGGTGTACAGGTGATCACTTTCCCTGTGAACTGGTGGATGTTCTCAATTGTTTCAATTCCCCGAGTTGTCTCTCTAACACTTTCCTCTGTTGTCAGGTGCTCATGGCCTCTGTGTATTTACTGCACTTCAGTGAGATTGCCTTAAGCAGTAGGCATAGCTATTTGTCATGACTGCCCCGTCCCTGGCTGAAGGACAATATGTGAACCAGTCTGCAGCAATAGGTCACTCGCTTTCTGGGCAGCCTGTGGTTCTTGCACCTCACATCACCTGACAGGAACCTGCTGCGAAAAGAATTCAATATCCTAACTCAAAACAATAAGAAACAAGGGCAAAATGGAAGGCAAATTTAAGGCAGTGAGCATTTGCCAGTATGAACCTTATTGACATTATACTTCCAGTTTACGCAGTCTGCTGAAATCACCATCTGCACAAGGCTTAGAGAGGTCAGTGAGTCCCATTCAGAACACTTTCAGAGTCCCGAGACCTTCCCCATTGGCTCAATTTCTTTTCTTAACTCCACTCATTCCCTCTATAAGCTCCGTCAGGCCCAACGTGTGCCTCCTTGGCCCTGTTCCCATTAAACTGCTTAGCTCCCAGCCACCCTTCTTGCCTCCTGAGATAGCTTGCATTGTTAACAGCTCCAGTTCAATTTCAATTCTGTTGTCATCGTCACTTGCCTCAAACAAATCCACCCTTGCAACTACTGCCCCCACTCCAACCTTCCTCTCATCTCTAAAATCCATCCCAACTTTCCCAGCATTTCATGTGTGAACCGCTCTGCCCCAAGTACAGCACTGCACAAACCAAAGTCAGAAATGGCTACATACATACCTGCTATTCAGCCATAGCTTGAGAATTATAAGCAATGGCCTAACTTTGTGAGCCCATAAAGATCTATCTCTCATTCCCCCCACCTATTTCTCATTTATATGCTGCCCCTCAGCAACATCATTTCCAAAAACATATCTTACCACATGGGTGTAAATGACAGTTCCACCTCACTATTATCTCAACACTCCAGTCTCTCCAGGCAGTCTGTGTGCTCGTCCAGCATCCAGTACTAGATGAGCAGAAATTACAAACTAAATACTGTGAGAATGGAAAGCACTGCCTTTGGTCACTGCCACTGTCCAAAGCTGAACCAGACTGTTTGCAAGACTGGCATCCTATTTGATTCTGAGACAAGCTTCCACTCACACTTTTGCTCTCTCGCAGAACTTCTATACCCATCTCCACTTCTGTCTTAGTTCCACTGCTGCTGAAACGCTCAGCCGTACGTTTGTGATCTTCAAACTCAACCTTTCTGAAGTATTATGGGTTACTCTGCAAGCTGAACATCTCCAAATCCATTCTGCCATCACCGCCTTGTGCTTGTTGACCTGCACTGGCATCTGATCCAGCAACAACACTGTTCAAATTTTCATTATTGTTCCAGTCACCCTCTACCCTCCCAATCTCTGTAATCTCCTCTGGTTTGACCACATTCCTGGGGCCCTGTGCCCACACAGCCCAGGCCTCTTCCAAGTTATCACATACTTTAGTTCTGTCTTCGCAAAAGGAAGACACAAATAATATCCCAAAAAAAAAAGGGGGAACTCAGGATCTAAAGGGAAGGATGAATGGAAAGAAATCAGTACTAATAGGGAAATGGTATTGGGGAAATTAACGGGATTAAAGGCAGATAAATCCCCCAAGACCTGATAACCTTCATCCCAGAATACTCAAGGAAGTGTCCCTAGAAATAACAGATGCACTAATGGTCATTTTCCAAAATTCTTTAGATTCTGGAACAGTTCCTATGGATTGGAGAGTAGCTAATGAAATCCCACTATCTAAGAAGGGAGGCAGAGAGAAAATAACAAATTAAAGACCGGTTAGATTGACTTTGGTAGTGGGGAAAATATTAGCGTTCATTATAAAAGATGTAATACAGAGCATTTGGAAGATAGTGACAGGATCAGAAGAGCCAGCATAGTTTGCCAAAGGGGACATTATCCTAGACAAATCTGGAATTTTTTGAGGATGTAACTAATACAGTAGATAAGGGAAGCCAGTAGGTGTGGTTTACTTGGACTTTCAGAAGACTTTTGATAAGGTCCCACATAAAGAATAGCATGTAAAATTAAAATGCAGGGGATTCAAAGATGTGTACCAGTTGGCAGACAGGAAGCAAAAGGTAAGAATAAATGGGTATTTTTCCGAGTGGCTGGGAGTGACCAGTGAGGTGCCGCAGGCATCAGTGCTTGGACCCCAGCTTTTCACAATATATACTAATGATTTAGATGAGGAAACTATATGTCATATTTTCAAGTCTGCAAATGACACAAAGGTTGATGGGAGGGTATGTTATGAGGAGAATGCAGAGACAAGGAAGTGGGCAAATGCATGGTAGATGAAGTATAATGTGGATAAATATGAAGTTATACACTTTGGTAGCAAAAACAGGCAGGCAGATTGTGAAAGGAAGAGACACAGCAAGATCCCAGTGTCCTTATATACCTGCCCCTGAAAGTAAGAATGCAGACGCGGCAGATGGTGAAGAAGGCAAATGATATGTTCGCCTTCATAGCGAGAGGATTTGAAGACAGGAGCTGGGATGTTTTTCTGCAACCATATGGAACATTTGTAAGAGTGCACCTGGAGTACTGTGTGCAGTTTTAGTCTCTATCTGAGGAAGGATGTTTTGGCTATTGAGGGAGTGCAAAGAAGGTTTACCAGACTGATTCTGGGATGTCTACAGGGGAGACTCGATCAATTAGCAATATGTTCACTGGAATTTAGAAGAATGAGGGGGCATCACACAAAAACCTATAAAATTTAGACAGGGTAGATTCAGAAAAGATGTTCCTGATGACACCATGAAGTCAAGATCAGGGGCCACAATTTCAGGATAAGGGTTGGCCTTTTAGGACAGAGATGAGGAGAAATTTCTTTATCCAGAGAATGGTGAGTCAGTGGAATGCTCTGCCACAGGAAACTGCTGTGGCCAAATCATTGAAGACTTTCAAGAATGATGTAGATGTAGATGTAGGGCTAAAGGAATCAAAGGATATGAGGAGAAAACAGGAGAGGGGACTGAGTTGAATGATCAGCCATGATTAAACTGAATAGTGAGGCAGGCTGGAGGGGCCAAATGGCCGATTCCTGCTCCTGTTTCTGTGTACCCTCCAGAATGCTCCCTCATTATCAGCAATGCTTTCAGCGGCCTGTACCTTCTCTAGATATCTCCATTTCCCTCTCTTTCCATTCTATTGCTTTGATCAGCCTTTGACCACCAGTCCTAATATTTCTCTGTAGCTTGATAGGACCTGTTTGTGACAGCTTCTGGAAGGTGTTTCATTAGATCGAAAGTGTTTTTTTAAAATACAAGTTCTTGCTGTGTTGCTGTCAGTACCTGTGCTCTATTGAGGATGTTGTGTTATCTCATGCTATGAGTGGGACAAAGGGGTCGTGTGGATAAACTGGGTCATACCATTGCCTCTCGGGGTTCAAGTCCCATTCCAGCACTGGATGGCCAAGGAATGTGTATTCATATTAGATGACTATTTAAATAGGAATAATATGCATAGTTATAGGGGAAAAGGAGGTTGGGAGCAGGCAATGGTGCTCAATTGATGAGGTGGTGCTCTTCAATGGGCTGAATGGCTTCTTCTGTGTTGTAACATTTCCGTGATAATGCTGGAAAACAGTTTGAGTATCAATCTCTAAGTCCTTCCGCTGGTCAGACAGTGATGAAAGGAACATCTTGAACGCCCTTCATGTGGGGATCGGTGTAGATGAGTTTGGTGCCAACAGTACAGGGTTCCATTCCCGTTGAGGTCTGGGGATTCCAGACCTGCCTTCTTGCCCCACCATGATGGAGGTCATGGGCACCATGGTTCAGACCAGCCTTTGGGCAAGGAACTCAAGAGGGGCAAGCTTGCAGATTGTCAGGTGTTTGTCAACTGAAAGCCCAAGGTCTAGGGTAACTGTGTACAACTTCTGTGTACAGTTTTGGTCTCATTACTTTGAAAAGGATGTACTGGCACTGGTGCAGGTGCAGTGGAGATTCACTAGGTTGATTGTGGAGAGATTGAGTATACTGGGAATATACTCATTGGAATTTAGAAGAATGGGGAGGGATCTCATAGAAACATATATAATTATGAAGGGAATGGAGAAGAACGAAGCAGGGAGGTTGTTTCTACTGGCGGGTGAAACTAGAACTAGGGGGCATAGCCTCAAAATAAGAGTTAAGACTGAGTTTTGGAGAACCCCAAAGAGTTGTGAATCTATGGAATTCTATGCCCAGTGAAGCAGTTGAGGCTACCTTGCTGAATGCTTTTAAGGCAAAGATAGATAGATTTTTGAACAGTAAAGGAATTAAGATTTATAGTGAGCGAGCAGGTAAGTGGAGCCAAGTCCACGAAGAGATCAGCCATGATCTTGTTGAATGGCGGAGCAGGCTCAAGGGACCAGATGGTCTACTCCTGCTCCTTTTTTTCATGTTCTTATGTAACATAATAGTTAAATAATAGTTATTTACCTCCTTTTTAATACTCTGAAATGTGACAATCATGACAAGTTGACATATTTCCCACTCTCCTGAAGCACAGCACATGGAAGTCAAGGGTGAAGGTAACCTTCAGCTGATATACATTTACAGGTCAAGATGGAAACTACATCAGGTACCCAAGGAGGATTTAATCCTCACTTTAAAATCAGTCTTATTTTTCCTTTATTCTTCTAAACTAAATTATTAATAGCTGAAAAGCAAACTTATGACAGTTTAGGAAGCAGAGAAGTGGAGTGGGAGTTTCTGTGCTGAACAGGCACAAACCTAGGCAATTTGGCACCACCAGCAAGTAGGTAGGAGCTATACAATATGACATTTACTTGGCAACTCCATTATAAATGTGAGCAAAGGCAATGCATTAGAGTAAGATTTTTCAATAACATACATAGATAATAGATTTTTACAGGGTAATTTTAAAAATCAGATTTTTAAAAAATTACCTTTTTCCTTTTGCGATCAAGATTCAACTCCATTGTGGCCACTGACTGAGAATGTGTTCGTTAACTGGACAGGGATACAAGACATCGACAGGAATTGGGTCAAAACAAATATTGTAAAATAGATTTAAATTGTAGACAGCCTTTCGTAACTTTACAGTGTTTGCAAATAACTTTAAAGTAAAAAATTGACAGGAATTATCTCGCTGCTCACACTAAGGATGGAATTCCATGTCGGTGACTGGGGTTACACCTACCAACAATGTCGCCTATGTTCAGGAAGGCCCATCGAATAGGCAGCAGTGGTGTGCTTTTCACTAAATTAAAATAAAGAACTGTGGAGCCAGAAAGCAGAGTTCTTCTCAAGAAGGATCACTGGATCCAAAACCTCAACTCTGCTTTCTCTCCAAAGATGCTGCCAGACTGGCTGAGTTTCACCAGCAATTTCTGATTTGTTGTAGCAATGGATTTTTCCCAGGTCCAAGGATAACCACAGGCCTAAGTATTGCAGACTTAATCGCAGTAGAAGGAGAAAGGCAGTGGGGTGCTCATCTGCCACACTCCCACTCAATTAAAAGCTCTATCTTCCTCCAAACATACCAGTACAGAAGGCTCTCCCTAACTTTTCAGAGGTGAAGGGCAAACTATAAAACAGAATACTTTTGATAAAATATAGAAACAAGTGGAATAATGTTTTCCAATGCAGTATGTTTATTCCTTACTGAACTGATAAATTACACAACTATATTCCTCTGTTGCAGCATGAACATATTAAAGTTTAGCTGCCCCTGTAATCACATTTCCAAGAAGTGAAGAGGACATTCAGTAGAGCATAAACTTCCACGTCAACATGTTACCTTGACATTATAGTTGCGCAGCTCTTCTTTGTGTTCTTTTTCATGCTTCATTGAGGCTCTGTAACCACAAAGCTAAAAATATATACTGTTCTATGATGAGCTTCACACCAATCCACATTCAACAACCTACTCTGAAAACTCTGCTCAAAATTTAACAGCTATGACAATTTCCACCGTAAATTCCAACTACACCACATGGATTGCAGCAGCTCAAGAAGACTGGAAGGGCAACTTGAGATGAGAAACAGATGCTGGCCCCATCAGCAACGCTCACACCTCACGAGAGGTGTAAACCCTCAACCCTTTCTATGTCGTTGCACCAACTGATGCAACTCTCCTCCAGTGCTAAGGCTGTGAAAACTTCCACGGTTTCCCATAGATTCAAAACTGATGTACTATGCAAAGAATGTGAAGTAGTTTTGATGGTAGTTTCCTCAGGGATTCACCTAATGGACTTCAGCAAGAACCTGATGGCCTGTGATCTGCTGCAAGTTAACCCTCTGTAAAGTGATTCAGCAAAGGATACCTTAAAGAATAACGTGTAGCCATGGAACCCAGTTCACCTCCAGAAAACTGAAGGAACAATACAGACCATAAGACACAGGAGCAGAAATTAAGCCATTTAGCCCATCTGGTCCACTCCACTATTCCACCATGGCTGGTAAGTTTCTCAACCCCATCCTCCTGCTTTCTCCCCGTAACCCTTGATCCCCTTGACAATCAAGAACGTATCTATCTCTATCTTAAATACATTCAATGACCTAGCCTCCACAGCCTTCTGTGGCAGTGAATTCCATAGATTCACCACTCTCTGGCTGAAGAAGTTTCACCTTCTCTCCGTTCTAAAAGGTCTTCCCTTTATTCTAAGGCTGTGGTCTTGTGTCTTAGTCTCTTCTACCAATGGAAACGTCTTCCTAACATCCACTCTGTCCAGGCCATTCAGTACTCTGTGAATTTCAATTAGATGCCCCCTCATCCTTCTAAACTCCATCAAGTATAGACCCACAGTCCTCAAACATTCCTCATATGTTAAGCTTTTCATTCCTGGGTCCATTCTCATGAACCTCCTCTGAACCTGGTCCAGGGCCAGTACATCCTTCCTGAGATATGGGCACAATACTCCAAATGTGGCTTGACCAAAGCCTTATAGAGCCTCAGAAGTAGATCCCTGTTTTTATATTCAAGTCCTCTCAAAATAAATGCCAAAGTTGCATTTACCTGCCTAACTACCGCCTCAACTTGCAAGTTTACCTTGAGAGAATCCTGGACTAGAACTCCCAAGTCTCTTTGCATTTCAGACTTCTGAATTTCCTTCCCATTTAGAAAATAGTCCATGCTTCTATTCTTCTTACCAAAGTGTATCACCTCACACTTACCCAAATTGACCTCCATCTGCCACTTCTTTGCCCACTCTCCTAACCTGTCCAAATCCTTCTGCAGCCTCCCCACCTCCTCAATACTACCTGCCCCACTACCTATCTTTGTATCGTTTGCAAACTTAACAAGAATGCCCTCAGTTCCTTCTTCTAGATCATTAATGTACAAAGTGAAATGCTGTGATCCCAACACTGATTCTTGTGGAACACCACTTGTCACCGGCTACCATCCTGAGAAAGACTCTTTTAACCCCACTCTCTACTTCTGCCAAAGAGTCAATCTTCTATCCATGCTAGAACGTTGCCTCTAACACCATGGACCCTTATCTTACTCAGCAGCCTCCTGTGCGGCACCTTGTCAAAGGCCTTCTTGAAGTCCAGTTAGATAACATCTGTTGGCTCTCCATGATCCACCCTGCTCATGACTTCCTCAAAGAATTCTAGCAGATTTGTCAGGCATGACCTCCCCTTGATGAAGCCATACTCACCTTGCCTTATTTTACCAAAATCTTACCCACAACCAAGGTTAGGCTAATCAGCCTGTAATTTTCCATCTTTTGCCTTACTCCCTTTTTAAACAGGGGTGTCATGTTAACGATTTTCCAGTCCCTGGGACCCTCCCTGACTCTAGCGATTCCTGAAAGATCACCATTAACGCCTCCACTATCTCTTCAGCTATCTCCTTTAGAACTCTGGGGTGTAATCCATCTGGTCCTGATAATTTATCCACCTTCAGGCCATTCAGTTTTTCTAGCACCTTCTCCGTGGTGATGGCCACCATACTCAGCATTCAGTTCCTCAGCCATTTCCTTGTTCCCCACTACTGTTCTCCAGCATCATTTTCCAGTGGTCTAATGTCCACTTTTGCCTCTCTTTTGCCCTTTATATATCTAAAGAAACTCTTACAGTCCTCCTTTATATTACTGGCTAGCTTACCCTCATATTTAATCTTCTTATTTCTTTTTTATTTGGTTTCCTTTGTTGGTCTTTGTAAGCTTCCCAATCCTCTGGTTTCCCACTGCCCTTTGCTACATTATATGCTTTCTCTTTTGCTTTTATGCTATCTCCGCCTTCCCTCGTCAGCCACGGTTGCCTCATCGTCCCTGTGTCATGCTTCTTTTACTTAGGGATGAATTTTTCTATGTCTCCTGAATTACTCCTAGAAACTCCTGTCATTGCTGAATCAATGGCACTACTGTATTACTCAAGGGAATCTGGGTTTATAGAAAGAAATATTTAAGGAAAGGCAGCAGTAATGCCACTATACCAGCAGCATCATGTAGTGCCCCTTTAACAATGGGCACCAGCCAGATAGTCAACATCAACAGCATGTGGGGTTCAGAGGAAGTTCATGAGAATGGTCCCAGGAATCGAAAGCTTAACATATGAGGAACTTTTGAGGACTCTGGGACTATACTCATTGGAGTTTAGAAAGATGAAGGGGGATCTAATGGAAACTTTCAGAATACTGAATGGCCTGGACAAAGTGGATGTTGGGAAGATGCTTCCGTTGGTAGCGGAGTCTAAGACCCGAGGGCACAGCCTTAGAGTAAAGGGAATTTAGAATGGAGATAAGAAGAAACTTCTTCAGCCAGAGAGTGGTGAATTTATGGAATTCAATGTCACAGAACGCAGTGGAGGCCAGGTCATGGAGTACATTTAAGACTGAGATAGATAGGTTCCTAATTATCAAGAGGATCAAGGGCTCCAGGGAGAAAGCAGGAGAATGGGGTTGAGGAACTTATCAGCCATGATTGAATGGCAGAGCAGACTCGATGGGCTGAATGGTCTAATTTCTGCTCCTATGTTTTATGATCTTATGATCTTATGTGGTCTCCCATTAACAACGGACACCATCAAAAGAGATAACATCAACAGCATGTGGTCTCCCATTAACAACACCACCATCCACCAGCATCAGCAGCATGTGGTTCCACGGCTGTAACGTCACCAGCGAGTGACACAGCATTAACAACATTACACACAACTCTTACAAGATTAGGAGCAACCAAGTCACCTGGGCAGCATGCCAACTCACCACAGACAGCAATGACTGCCAAATCTACAACACAGAGGCACAAAATCCTACCACCTAAGCAATACCATGAATAATGTTTTGGAAAAATAAGTGGGAAAATGGTCTTCAATTTAATAGTAAAAGTTGATTGCTAACTCCTTTAGTTGGATCTAAAATAAAAGAAAGTTAATGGTTTGAACAGCTATATTGATAAAGTGACATTATATTCTCATAAAATAAGAGAAATATCATATATTAGATTATCTGTAAAGAGATAAGAACTAATGGCTCAGAGAATGGCCATCCTGGTTGCCACATTTTCTGTTGCACTGCAGTCAGCTGTTGAGCAATAAATGGACGGGTTCACCAGTCACATGGAGAATGCAGGGAATACACACAATGAAGGTCCAGCATTTGAAGTCTAAAACAGTGATTATTTAGAGCTGGGAATAGCTCCAGTGTCCTTCACCAAGTTAATCTATGCCACAATTATATAGTGCACAATGCAGCCATCCTCCCTGTGTCACCTCTTTGGTATCCAATTCATCCCACTCCCTGCCCTTTCCAATAGCCATGCAAAATGTTTTCTGTTTGAATTTTTATCCACTATTCTTTTGATCATTATACTGCCCTTTCAGTCAGTGCATTCCAGTTCACAATAATTGTCTTTGAAAAAATATTGTTTCTTCTGGTCATGCCTGGCTCCTTTGTCAACAACTTTAAATCATTGTCTTCTGGTTAGTGATCTATCTGCACTGGCAATAGTTCCTGGACAGTTACTTGAGCTTCCCTCATCTTTCAATGTAACTGAAGACTCACCCAGGAGACCTGAGCCAGTTCACCTCCTGTAACACCTTCAAATCACTTTAAAGTTTTAACAAAGATTTGTAGCTGGGTTGTGGGTGAGGTTGTTGACTTGCTCGCTGAGCTGGATTGATTTTGTTCAGACATTTTGTCACCATGCTAGGTAACCATCAGTGAGGCCTCCGATGAAGCTTCAATGGAGGCCTCACTGATGGTGTTACCTAGCATGGTGACAAAACGTCTGAACAAAAACAAGACAGCTCGGTGAGCAAGTCAACAGCCTCACCTTCAAATCACTCCAAACATTAGGTCACTGGAGTAAAGTGTACAATTCTGGTCACCATGTTTTAGGAAGGATGACAGTGCACTTGAGAAGGAGTATTTGAGATTTAACAAGTTACAAGAGCAGGTCAGAGACTAGGAAGCCTGCAGTGAGTAACACACCTCCTGTCTCCCCAAAGCATGTCCACCATATCCAACACCCAAGTCAGATAAGTGTGATGGAATACTTCCCCACTTGCCTGGATGAGTGCAACTTCAATAATACTCAAGAAGTTCAACACCATTCCGGAAAAAGCAACCCACCTGATTGGCACCATAATCCACAAGCTTTCACTCCCTCCAGTACTGATGTTCAGGAGCATCTGTGTGTACCATCTAGAAGATGCACTTTAGAAACTCACCACAACTCCTGAGGGAATACTTTCCAAACCCACAACTTCTATCATCTAGAAGGACAAGGGTAGCAGATACATGGGAACACCACCACTTGCAAGTTCCCCTCCAAGTCACTCACCACCCTGACTTGAAAATATATCACTGATTCTTCAGTGTCACTGGGCCAAAATCCTGGAACCCCCT